TAAATTTGTTAGTCTCTAAGGTGCCACAAGTACTCCTGTTCTTTTTGGGTTAGATAGATAGATAGAGAGAAATTCACTTTCTCCCTTTATTTATATATTTGATTTTTTTTTGCTTTATTTAGTATTAATTGTTTTAATTTTACAGATGGAGACGCATGTCTCTCCAGATAAATCATATTTTTAATAAGAAAGTTAAACAGCTACTCTATGTGAAAAGGAAAGTAACATAGAGTATTGCTGCCCACCCCTTTTCACATAGAGTAGCTGTTTAACTTTCCTGATGTTTTCAGGTATCCCTTTTGGATTTGTGCAGTGCTGTGAGATCTTTATGGGATTAGTTTACAGCATTTCCACATTCTGCGCGAGCAGGCTCCAGAGAGGTCTTGGGGACAGTCTGCGTCCGGGGGTATGCAGTCACCCCCATTATCTGCACAGGAAGGGGAGCCTGGAGAAATACCTGCACAAAGCAAAAGAGGCTGTAAGGTTCTGTTTGTATCCACAATGGGAGCAACATACCAGTTGCAATTTCAGGCGGAGGGACACCATAGAAACTGGTCCATTCACTGAGTGGTGAGCACAAGCTGTGCTAATCATGGCCAGCATAAATGATCTTGTCATGAGTGAAATTTGCCTCTTGTAACTTTTCAACAATTCAGATACCAGAGAAGGACCCAAGTGGTAAATTTTAGGGCTGGATCTAAATGTCCCCAAAGTTTGGGAGTTCTCAGTTCCAGGGATTTGGAATTGGGGCCCATCTTTAACCCAAACATTATTAGCGTAATAGTTCCTAGCTGTAATAGAGCCGCTTCCATCAGAAGGTGCTAAGGGGGTGCACAAACATTGATTAATTTTTCTCACCACGCCCCTGGGAGATAACAATAAAACTTCCAAAGGATCACAGTGAGACTGTTTCATTATTGGGATTAGAACCCAGCTCTGCAGAGTCCTTCTCATTTGCTCAAACCACCGAACAATATCGTGTCCCCTCTTGTTTTATAGTTCAATCAAAAGACTGATGAGTAGACGTTTCAAGAGATCAGGAGTGTTCTTGGTCATTTCCAGGAAGGGTATGATCAATAGATACAGGGGTAAGCAAATTCCAGACAGGATCGACCTATCCAGAACTTTTAACAGGGATCAGGGGCGAAACCCAGATATGGATTTCCATCTAGGGCCCATCTCTAGTGGCTATTGGTAGGCCTAAACTTCCCTAGTACAGCCAGACTTCCAATTTGATTAGAAAACTGAACCAAAAAAGGGAATCATAACCAGGGTATACGATCCTCCCCCAGATTTCATCCATCAACACCCCCCCTCCCCCAAAAAAACCCCTCCCAGCTGGACAGATGCAGCAAGTAGGGATGTAAGTAAGGTTTAAAAATAATAACCATTTAACCTATGAAAATTCTATCGGTTAAACGGTTAACCGTTAAGGAGTTCACATAGGCGGGGAACTAGGGATGTGGGGGGTGCTGCAGCACCCCCACATTTTACCTGGGGCTCTGCTGCTGCCCACGCCCGGCATCCCCGCTGACACCCCGTGCCTGGAACTCTGCTGCTGGCCCTGCGCCCGGGATCCCGCCTGCTGTCCCCATGCCCGGGGTCCCAGCTGCCAGCCCAGTACCCCGGACTCCGCTGCCGGCTCCGTGCCCGGGGTCCCGGCTGTCGGCCCCACGCCCGGGGTCCCAGCTGCCGGTCCCGTGCCCAGGACTCCGCTGCCGGCCCGGCAGCTGGGATCCCGAGTGCGGGGAGGCAGTATAGTTTAATTGTTAACCGAAACTGATAAGACTGATGCTTATTGGTTAACCGGTGAAACTTTTACGTCCCTAGCAGCAAGATCTATCTTCTTCACAAAGAAGGAGGATTTAAGAAGTTTGGAGACAAAGAGAGCAACAAATTTGTCTCCTGATGCTACAATGTTCCCCCTGCAGATTGCATCAGCTCCAAGCAGGATCCTCACCACCTACCTTTACAGCAGGTCGCACGACCGTGCGAGCAGGTTCCAAATTCGAACAGTGTTCCAGGGCAGCGTGTTTGGTAGCAGAAGCCATTGTTGTTGATACATCTCAGGGTGTCTGCAGGCAGGCTGAGCCCTGCAGAGGGAACGGGGAGTCCGAGAAGTGCTGAGATATTGGTCCTGCTCTGTCACTTACAGAGAAATGTCAGACTGACTTCGGGGCCAGCTTTGCAAATGCAACATGAATCACTGAGCTGGGGGCTTTGGAAACCGTAGAAGCCCCTCATTGGGGGCCTGACACAGACCCACTGCAATCAACGGGAGTCTTTCCAGTGACCTTGAGGGACTTTGGAGGATGTCCAAGAAGGGACCTTGTCTTGGTGAGGAATAAAGGTTGAGGCTGATTTTGTGTTAGCTGACATGGCCCTGCCTTTTCTCGGCACTGCACCCAAGGGTGGAGCAGGCTCCATGCTTCCCTGGCTGTGGGAGATGTGGCAGCCTGGCCCTTATGCATGTCCTGTAGCATGGCAGTGAGGAAGGGTCTATATGTTCTCCCCCATGGGACCTCGGGATGGGCCAGGCAGCATGTAGCCTCTGGAGCCGGTCCATTAAACAATTATCTCGGCCAATGCAACAAAGGGACCGTGAGACCCCGCCCCACGTGTCTAAACTGGGGCAGCACAGGCGGGGTCAACTTGCCAGCCCTCGCTTTGCCACAAGGCTGCTGCCCACTCCTCCTGGGGCGGTGGTGGAAAGAAGCAGGACATGGGGCTAGAGAGATGGGCTCCGGGTCTACGGCGCCCCCTTCAGATAACGCCCTGCTGCTGCGGCCCGAAGGAAAGTGGGCAGGGAGACGCGGGGTAGGGAGCCGGCTGTAGTGTGTGGCTCCCAGTGCCGCCTGTGCTGGGGAGCTGGCGTGTTGGATTGAGTGAAGCGCCGTATAGCTCAGGCCCGGCATGGTCAGACTTTTTAAAAAAAATTCCAGAGAATGTATCTGTTTTTATTCAAAAATGTTTAAAAAAGGGTGAAAGTCGGTGAAAACCCCAAACGAAGGGCAGCAGGCAGGGAGGAGGGGTGTCCAGGGCCGTCCGGGGGGGGGGGGGGGGAAAGGGGGGAATTTTCCCCCGGCCCCCCCGGGGGTTTTTCGGGGCCCCTGGAGCGGGGTCCTTCATTCGTTCAGGGGCCCCGGAAAACTCTCACGGGGCCCGGGCCCCTGGAGCTTCTTCCACTCCGGGTCTTCGGCGGCAGTTCAGCGGCGGGGGGTCCTTCTGCTCCGGGACCCACTGCCGAAGTGCCCTGAAGACCCACGGCGGGGGGTCCTTCCGCCCTGGGATCCACCACCGAAGTGCCGGGTCTTCGGCAGCAATTCGGTGCCGGGGGCCCCCTGCTGCCGAAGACCCCCAGCCCCCTGAATCCTCTGGGTGGCCCTGGTGGTGCCCATTCCCCACAGGGTGCAATGGGTGGGGGAAGGGGTGCGCAACACCCACAGGGTGCAGTTGGTGGGGGGAGGGTTGCCTAAATCCCACAGGGTGCAGCGGATGGGGAGAGGGGTACCCAACCCCCACAGGGTACAATGGGTGTGGGGGAGGGGTGCCCAACCCCCACAGGGTGCAGCGGGTGTGGGGGAGGGGTGCCCAACCCCCACAGAGTACAATGGGTGTGGGGGAGGGGTGCCCAACCCCCACAGGGTGCAGCAGGTGTGGGGGAGGGGTGCCCAACCCCCACGGGGTACAATGGGCGTGGGGGAGGGGTGCCCAACCCTAACCTAGTACAGCGGGGGGAATGGTTACTCATGATGTAGCTCTTAAGGGCTGGGGTCAGCAGGGGCTCTATCTGGCATGGAGGCCAGTACTTACAGGGTGCAGATCTCTGCACCCCTCTTGACCATGCCCCTTTAGCATGGTCCCGTCTGTTTCCCCTACTGCTGCGGAGATCACTCGACCGCTGCAGTGATGACAGGCCCACGATTAGTGAACAGAGCCCCCTCCTGACCCCGGCCCTTAAGGAGACGCAGCCAGGGCTCTGTGCCCAGGGGCCGTGCTGCAGGGCTGCCTAGTTTCCCAGGTTTTGAAGGACTGGATGTTTTCCTAGAAGACCTGCGCTAGGAAGTTTTTTGGGGAAGTTCTCTGCCTTGTGCTGAATGGGAGGTTAGACGAGATCACCACGGTGGACCCGTCTGGCTGTGGAATCTACGAAAAAGCCAAAATTTGGGTGAAAATCGGTAAAACCCAAATATTGGCTTTTTCACAACCCAGGGATTTTTTGGAGAAAATCAGTAGCTACCAATAACGAAGGGCTTTGTGTATAGCTTGAATCTTCTCCTGCTCTGGACTGAGAAACAGGGAACAGCTTTAATGTAAGGAACTGAAAAGCAGTGAAATATGTTGTCCGCAATGTTGTAACATTTCCTCATGCGATTACCCACAATCATCCCTCTCCTCTGGTTTACGCCTTACCTGGAGTTGCCTGGAGGAGGAAGAGGAGAACAGCAAAGATCAGGTAAAGGATCTTCATGGTGGAAGGTCGGCCGAGAACTCAGCATCACTGGCGTGAAGAGACACCAAGACAGAGAGGAGACGGAGAGTCCCTGTATTTATAGGACATTGGGGATTATCGTATGCTGAGGCATGCTGACCTTGTCAGCAATGAATCTGGAAAGCCGACATCTGAGCAATGAGCATGTTTCCACCGCCACACGCTGTTGAACCCAAACAATGGCAAAGTGTCACGAGTCTAACCAGCAAGGTAATAATTCCCCTCTGTACAGCAACTGGGAGGCAAATCTTGGAACTGCATCGAATGCAGGTCTCCTGACTATAGCATATGCTCCTCTGGCACAGTGGAACTCTCTGTGAGAAGGGTAAAGCTCATCTGTGCAGGATACCAAACTTCCCCGGTGTCAGAGTGTGGAATGAACTCGCCAGGGAACTAAGGACTATCAGAAACCTCCCCACCATCCACTCCAAGTGCCAGGTGCACGTCTTTGACCTGCCATCTCTCATATAAACACACGTGTTCCTCTGTGTTTAGAGAAAAAAGAAAAAACCCTCCAAACAAGACACTCCACAGTACATGCTTCTCTCCTGGTGAGCAGATGAGAGAACAAACAGTATGGGACAGATGTGTCGTCATGACGCTTTATGCACCACTGCAAGGCATTCATACTATGGTGATGAGAGCGGTATAAGAAGCTATATAGAATAGAAAGAACACGGGCTTTGGTAAGTCAGAGGGAATCCAAAGCAGGATGGCAAAGATGACGGATGGACTGAAGATTAAGACAGCCTAGCAAAGGCTTGATACCACTCTCATATGTATTTTTCCACTGTGTGAATTTCCCTCTTGTACTTGTGAGACCACCTGGCCTGTAGTGGGAGCCCTATTGCTTGTTACATTCAAAACTCAGTTGTACAAAACATTACTGTGAACTGTGGGAAGCAAACCTGCATTGGTTTTGGGTGGGGAGAAGGGGCTGAAGAATGCCAGCCCCTAAGAGATATCTATAATGGTCAGATTATTAATTATTATTAATTATTATTGCTATTGTTGTTGTCCGGCCAGCTTGCTTACTAGCTGGACATCTGGAAAAGCCAATGCAGTCTTGCAAAGGGTGGAATTTAGAACCAGCTCTCTGATTTCACAGATCCATCATCCATAAATGCTGGCTGGCCAACATTAAGAACAGAGCTTCCAGTTGTAATCAGAGGCAGCTAGGCATGTGAATGGGCCATACCGGTAGGATTCTGCCTGCTGCAATGTTGGGTCCTGTCAGAGGTGATTGTGGGCCTGGTGGCGTTGTGGGGAACATAGAGTTCCAGTGTCTTGTTGTTTACGGTGTCCACTCAGGCTGCTGCTGTAAGTTCTCCTGAGTAGCCCAAAGACAGGTAGGGTGACCAGACGTCCCGATAAAATCGGGACTGTCCCGATATTTAGGCGTTTGTCCCGAGTCCCAACCGATGTTTGGTCGGGATGCAATTTGTCCCGATAGTTTGAATTCTTTTTTTTTTTTTGTTCCACCGGCGGTACCCCCCCCAAGTGTCCCGATATTTTCTTCATCCCATCTGGTCACCCTAAAGACAGGGGTCGGCTGCAGACACATTAGATTTACGGTTGTTGAGCCAGAGCAGCAGAGACAGACATGAGCTATGCCTCAGCCATTAAGTCACAGTCCACGTTCCAGTCATCACTGGCCTCTATGCATCCCCTGCCCTCTTGAGTTACGGTGTGCCATGCTCTGGGGGTCTATTAGCAGATAGATCCACGGGGAAAATGTTAAATGGCTTGATTGTGTGTTAAATCAATAAACTTTCAACTTGAATGAATGCTTTGGGGGTGTTTGTCAAGTAACTGAGCAATACCAGGGCATTTGTAGAAAATAACCCCAACGTAGCCCTGTCTTATGTCAGAGAGTGGAAGAGTTTATAATCACCTTTAACTCTTCATGCCTTCAAGATCAATCTCCATACAAGAGGATGTAAACACCTTTTGAGGATCTGGGACTTGTTGTCTATTGTGCAAGGCGGCTGCCCTGTCAGAGGGAGACAGTTGGGGCTCATCATGTCAAAGGGTAGAGAGTGGAAAAACAAAACTGGTGCTCTCCGAAATTACACAATCCCTGTGACAGAGTTAGCTTGCAGCCTTCGGCCATTCTTACCGATGAGAACAGAGATACAGACGGGAGATGGGTTCTGGCATTTGGCAGCCAGGTTTCGACACAGCTGTTATATTTTACCATATACTTCATGTGTCCAGGCCCAGTGACGTATTTTTAGATTAAGGGAAAATTAATAAAACAAAATCAGAAACAGAAATAAGCCTCGGCGAGAGCACAATGTGAGCCTCTCTTCTGTAACGTGCTGCCAGTTTGAATGTAAGCGGTCTTACAAAATGGAGGGTCCTACAACAGACAGGTGGGAGACCTCCTTAGAAAGTGAATGATGCAGGACCCAGAAGTCATAGTGATAAATCATACACCGCAGTAACACCCTCATTCCTGAATAAAGCTGGTGAGCCCTAACGATGGATGCCCAGGAGTGAACTCTATCGGGGACTGATTTTCCTCACCAGCCATCTGAGCACAGCACCTTAAGCACAGCCTGTGGGATGTATGTGAAAGGAAATGTTTTCATTGCCATCAGCGTCTCTGAACCTATATGGGAATAGCCGTCTCGACTGGAGAAAGGGGATATCATCTGTGGTACTGCACTTGTATTCATGGCTGTGAGTTTGCTGCAATTCACTGTTAACAATGGGACTTTGCACTTGGATAGCACATTTCATCTCAGGAACCCAGGGTGCTTTACAAAGGTGGGGATCATTCCCAACCAGCTCAATGCTCATTCATCTCCCCTACGAACGCCTTTACTCATACACCCATTTGGGCTGCCTCTGCCAGCCAACCCCTCCATGCCTAACTCCTGCACAGAGATTGTTATTGCTCAGTGCTGATATTACAAATGGTGCCCTGAATGTCCAGTCAGGATCAGGGCCCCATTGTGCTAGGCTCAGTACTTAAAACCCAGGGCCTGTCCCAAACAGCTGACAAGCTAAACGAAGACAAGTCAGAGCAAGTTTGTGCAACAGAGAACTGGGGAACAAGGTTAGCAGTGAGAGATACACACTATTGTATAGACTAGTTATGTGAGTATAGGTTTTATACACATACACACACACACACACACACTCCTCTCCCGATCCATACATACATTCCCTACACACACAGACCCAAACAGATATTCTTGACACGCACTGAGTCATACATACACTCCCTACAATCACATACACACACAGATCCATATATACAGCGAGAGATTTTGAAATGAAAGAAGTGTGATGTAAAGCAGCTGGGCCCTATTAAAAGGAAAGAGACACCTGCTTCTCTCAAAGCTACCGCAAGGCCCCCCCTTGTGGGTCTCAGCAGTTTTTTTAGACAAACATTTTCTTACAGAAACAACGAGGAGTTGTTTACGGATACAGACTAACACGGCTACCCCCTGATACTTGATTTTCTTACAGCATTTCCACCACTCGCCGCCAGAGATCCCAGGCAGGTGTTCATGCAAGATGTGTACCCTGAGTGGCGGCACGCAGTATCCCCTGTTGGCTCTGACAGGAGAGGAAGCTTGAAGGATCTCCCAGCCAGACAGAGAGAGAATCTCTGTTTTTAACCTCTATCATGGGGAACATATGAACAGTGGTTCTGATACCTGCCCACCCTCCCCAGGTATCACCCATTCAGTGAATGACGAGCACAGGTTGCAGTGGGCTTGTCAGCTTGTCTGCGTTAGGACTACATCCCTGCATAAGGCAGTGAGTGGGAATAAGAACCCCTTTCCCTGCTGCATTAGACCCTACGTCCGGGCATGCAGGAGTAAGCGGGTTCACTCAGCTGTTTAATCCTTCCCCAGAGCAGGAGGGCAGGGCGTGGGTGGGGAATGTGCAAAGCCAGGGCTCCACCCCAGCCTTGCTGGCCAGCACCACTAAGCAGGCGATTCACTGATGGTAAAGGCAAGCAGGTTCTTTGCCATTGACCTGCAGCAGCTCTGACAACCATTAAAGCAGAAATCCCTTCTCATTTGTTAGGGCAGGGCAGGCCCTGAGTGGCGGGCACCTTTCTCACTGTAACACTTAAAGAAGTTCTCAGAGTCTCCAGACCTTGCACAGAAGAAAGGAGCCTCCAAAATGCTTTCCCATTCAGTCATACATTCTGGGGTGCAATTTGGACCAGTGAGGGGTTGTGTCACTGCCTGTCCTGTAACCCTGGGTGCCTCACTATGCTTTGCTGCTGTAGCTCCCATAGAATCATAGAATATCAGGGTTGAAAGGGACCTCAGGAGGTCATCTAGTCCAACCCCCTGCTCAAAGCAGGACCAATCCCCAACTAAATCATCCCAGCCAAGGGCTTTGTCAAGCCTGACCTTAAAAACCCATCTTGGGTCTCTCTCACAACCAGCCTACCAGCATGTAGGTCACATCCTGTGTGTCTGTGTACTAGACAGCCCTGGTTCAACAGCTCTGACCCCAGCAGCCTGGCTATATCCTCACTTTGGCTTCCACCAGTCTTGGTTAAAACCAGCAAAGTGACCCCAGTACACTCCCGGTCTCTAAGTTTCCCAAAACCTTGTACCCAGAAGTGTTCAGCCCTCACTTGGACAGTTCAGAGAAATAATATGGTTTGTTTGTTCCTCTAAAGACCCAAAACACATTACAGTTTATTAACTTGCCTGGGGTGAATACACCCTTCCCTTTAAACACCACATTGACTTGGTTTATAGTAAAATAAAACAAATTGATTAGCAATAGGACATAGGTTAAGTGATGCTAAGTAAAAGGAATAAAACCAGAAAGGATTACAAGCAAATAAAAATGAAAACACACATATAAAAGGCTAAAACTTTAATCTACAAAGATACAAGCTTTGTTCAAGATGGTTTCTCTCACCTCTTGGTTTTCTCCCCAGCCAGGGCTGACTTTCATTCAGTCAGGACCTTCCACAAGAGTACAAGCTGCTGGTT